ACATTTGCTGCTGTTAAATTTCTTCGCACGAAATTTTTTCCTTTCGCACTGAAATAATCCTGATTGATATTCGTTTTTTCTTTCTTTTGATGCTGAAATAAAAGGGTAGAATTACATAGACCAGACGTCTATATAGTTCTACCATTTTATTTTTTAAGTCCACCATTGTATTTTTGGGTATATAATCAGGGTCTTCAATGTTTTTACGATTCTGATCAACGGAATTTAAAATATTAACAGTGGCTTGTACATGTCTTACACACTAGTAGGACGAGGGTCATTTTCTTAAACAGGACTAGAAATATTCTCATTCGAATGCTTCTTTTTATCAAATGTGTTTGAACTGTTTTTGTCATTTCCATTAGTTAATGTCTCTATTGGTTGCCACTTATCGTCGTCACTAACGTTCGAACCATTTTCTCCATTGAAATTAGTAACTTTCTTAGTTTGTCGGTCCTTATTATTATGTTCATCATTTACTAACTTCAATTTCTTTTCTTCAATTGACGGAAACAAAAGGTTAATTGTTTCCAAAAGAGCTTGATGCACATAATTAGGCTCTGTTAGAATATTTATTTCTGAATGGCTAACTCAAATATTGATGAAATAGTATCCATTGAAATATTATCCGCTAGTGTATAAATAAAGAGATCACAGCATCTGGAGTTTTGGTAATTCTATAGAATAATATAAGTCTTGATCAGTTCTAACATTAGGTACAGGGATATCTTGAGGTTTATTTGTGTTGGCATGTTCAGTATTTTTATTCAAATCTTTTGTATTTCAGTTCGCAAGATTGACTAGTAATTGACTTCTTGATTTTGGCAGTGGCATTATTCTACAAAAAATAACGAAAAAGTTAGTAGTAGTGGTGGACGTCTATGAAAATAATACCTAAACAAGTCGATATAACTCATGCAATTTTTTTAGATAGCGATTTTCCCAATATAATTTCAAGGTACTTAAAATATAAATTATTTCTCGTAAAAGCTAACTTACAATATGCAATAATATGTTAAGCACCGTAAACTGCACTATAAGTTTTACTCAAAAGCGTTTTGTATTTAGCAATAATCAATCAAGTGGTTTATCATACCTATTTATTACAAAAGTTACAATAAATCAATATGATAGGACCAAATAACATTAGTTTAGTATAAGAAAAAGCTTTCCTTTGATATATAACAATACAAATATTTAATTTACTCGTTTCCTAATTTATATCCGCAGCCTAACCTATTAAGAAAATAACAGAATGATTACTGACTTACCTTGATGAACCCAGCGTAGATTACATACTATTTACTAAAACAACAGTTTGTACAACTAATCAACTAATTACAATGGGAATATCAGTTATTTTTTCAATTTTTACGTGATCTTCTTTGTTTGGCTCTGGCCGAAGAACGAAATAACATTTCGCAACACAGTATCAAGTCTCATAACATCTTTATAGTGACGACAGATGGAGATATTTTGAATATCGACCATGTTAAGGAGCTTGACGGTGTTTTGGCAAATGTTGTATACGTGATTTCCCATTTGTTTTATGATATAATTTATTTTTTTCCGTACTTATTTGATTTAAGTAACTTAAAACTCTTTTGCATAATGTTTAATAAGTAACGCGTAATCAGAAAACATCAATATCTCTAAATTTGACTTTTTGTGGGTTGACACATTATTGCTTATCAGCATCCGTTTATCCTTCCATTTCGTATAAGACACCAATTCATTATTACTGATACGATAATCATATTTACTACGTTCCAGTTTACTATCTGCTTTTAGTTCCGGCAGGTGCTTACGAGAAGGATTTAAAATTCCGCAGGCATAAATTTGCTTCTGTCATAACTCAACTTGTAACAAATCACTATTGAAATAATTGTCCAATAGTGTTTTCCTTCTAGGCCTACACAAAACTTCCTAACAACTTGACCTTCTAATTCTTTCTCCACTTTATTCCCAATTTTTTGGATATATATACTGCCTGAGCGAACTCCTTCCTTTGAATTTCACCATTGACTCGTCTATTGCAATATTTTTCATAGGGTTTTTTATGAATGAGTCTCTAATTTAATTAATAAACAGTCTGATTTTGTACAATTTGTGGGTTGTGTAGGTGACCCACTCACAGTCTTTTGGTATTTACTCCGAATTACAATGCAACACTATATACATACAGAAGACATTATAGACACAAAATAAATACTGTTTAATATTTATTAATAAATAAATATATAAGTATGATGCTAAATAATAAATGTTATAAATGTAGAATAGCCTACAAATTTGTCATTTTAAGATCTGTCCTACTAGGAATCAAGTTATCATCAAGTTATATTTCATTCAAGTGTAAGTTCCCTAGAATTCAGGAAAATCTCTTCAGATGCATGAATGACGATATGTACTCATCTCGTAAGTCGGATGAACAAGACTAGTAATCTCAGTAACTGGGGCTCTTACTTATTCCCATAGTATGAGAGCTGGCGACGAATTTTGGAAAGGTTCTTTTGGCAAGTTGAAGTTGTGAAAAAATATAATTTCGTTAATTGACGAATTCAGTCCCGCGAGTCTGGCAGAGCGTTTGCAGTTATTTCGTTACTGCGCAGCGTATGACATTTGCAAAAAAAATGTTGTTTTGGCTTGATTTCTTTTTTATCCTTTAATTTAGTTTTTATATAATTCCAAAAAAAATAATCCCAGACGTTTTTGTCGGTTATAAAGTATTACCAGACCTCTCCAAAAATATTTTTTTTAAATTCCCAAAAAATATACTTTTGGCAATCTCAAATTTTAATAACTTATCATTATATACCGACATCAAAAGTCGCAGTGGTATGCGTTTGCCGGCATTAGTACGGCAAACACTAATGGCGAACACACATCGTCGGCGTACACTACGTAAGTTATTATGGCGAGGTACTAGCAATCCTATCTGGTTTAAAAGCGCTGGGTAATCAAATTTATTATGATAAATATTAAGCAAAAACATAGCCTGCAATAATAAACATCTCGATCTCATTGTGACGTTATATTTATGTTTACTGTCGATGGGGGCATCGCGTTATCTTCTGTCTGCTACTATAGGTGAATCCCATTCTTGTGCGAGACGCTTACTATGAAATAGTCTTGTGAGATGTAATGCCTCCTGAACACAAGTGTCTCTTTACCTCGGTGTCTGTGTCTCTGTTTGTTTGCCACAGGTTTTTTTGAAGAGTATTATAATAAACTCTTCAAAAAGAAAATTAATGATTTACCAGGAACAAATAGAACAAAATTTGAATGCCTACCAACTAAGAGATCTTAAAATGAACTTGTACAAAACAAAGATCATGTGTAATGTCCATGCCACACCTATGCCGGTAGTTCTTGGGAGCACTGAGCTCGAAGTTGCTGACGAGAGATTCATCAGTGGACTTGTGAAGGGCTGTAATGATGATGATGATATGATCATGATAATTTTAAAAATCCATTCGGTAAAGAATTAAATTGAGTATTTCATGTAAGCGCATTTTTTTTCGAGGATAGTTATTCTATCTCAAAAAGTATCAACGAGGGCTAATAATCTTCAGCTCACCAGATGTCGCTAGTTGACACTAAGGTGAAGTTTTTTGTTACACAATGTCATTTAATTGAGAAGTAAGTTTTAAATAAAAGATTATCAGTTTCTACAATGTTATATTAATACACAAAACAATGTGTAAGTGGTTTGTTCTTTAATTATTTGCACATTTTTAACTTTTTTTATTTTTTCTAGTTTTATGAATATCTGTGGTTTGGTTTTTTTTATTTTTAAGCTAATTTAAATTAAACCTTTACATTTTCGAACAAATAAACTTCCTCGTTATAAAATCTGTCAAATATTACACCTCATTTTTAAGTGGCGCCGCGCCGCCCTGTTGGCAAAAAAATCGTCGATGCCCTCATTCTCGCGCATCAAATCGTGTATAAAATTATGATATTTTGTCTAACCTGGCCCCTAAACTAACCCTTAAGGGTAACTTTATAGCACCATCTATAATACAAAAATGAACCGCTGAATGTGTTGCTAAGCGCAAATCTCGAGAGCAGCTGAACCGATTTCGCTAATTCTTTTTTTATAATATTCGTTTAAGTACGATACCGATTACGATTACCGATACGATCATACGATTCACGATACCATCCTCACCATCTGGATGCTTGGCGGTCCACTACTCTGCGTTTTACTAGGAGCTTTCTTCCTCATACAACTTCTTTGTGGAATTGTTTACCACCGGCGATTTTTCCGGACCAATACGACTTAGGGACCTTCAAGAAAAGAGCTTACACCTTTCTAAAAGGCCAGCAACGCACCTGCAATTCCACTGGTGTTGCGGTTGTCACTTACCATCAGGTGAGCCGCATGTTCGTTTGCCCCCTCTACTATAAAAAAATTAACTTCCCCGCTATAAAATCTGTTAAATATTTCACCTCATTTATTTTAGTGGCGCCGCCCTGGTGGTAGAAAAAGTCGTGGATTGTCTTGTCTTGATTGAAAAGTCATTTACCGCCCCAGCCAGAATTTTTTTTAATTTAGAAAAGAACAATAAAAGAAAAAAATATGACAGGATTAAATTAACATTTAGTTAAATCTTTTTATATGGCCTGTACCTTCAAAGTTACGCTAATAAATGTGAAATTCCTCTATACAGTGTTGATGTGTATTGTTTTAAAGTTACCTACATCTTTCTTAGTCAATTTATACTGATACAAGACAACTGCCAAATAAAACAGCATCAAAGATCCATTACACAGCCACCACAAATTAAATATCCGGTATCCGGCCGGATAGTCCAGTACCAGTGTTTTTAGCCAGATACCGGTTACTAAAAACATTGTTCGGATAGGCCACTTACTGGATAGTAAACGGATATTCGGTCCATCTCTAGTTGATAATTCATTGTCCTAATATTTTTTTAATGTTTATTAATTTCCATTTTTGATGGAGTATAAAGAATACTTATTTAAAATTTCAGGCTCGTGAAGAACAAGCAAAGCAGGAACAACAGCAGTGGTTACTGCTACAACAACAGGGACTTGTTGGTGCAGAAGGTATGCCACAGCCCTATGTGCCTCCTCTAGCCGGAGCAAAAACTGAAGAGGATGAAGATGATGATTACTCATAAGCCGCCAGCTAAATATAAACATTTCAATAAAAATAAATTGCTAAACTGATCAATTTTGTTTTTATTTTATCCCATAAATATTATATATTTTTTTTAGTAAATACTGGTATGTGAAACTGAATTTGCAAATGAAAAATGTATACAAAAAGATAATTACACATTTCTTCTACATAAGAAAATAAAATTATATTCTGTCAAATGTCGTTTTCAAATCTGAAACATGTTCTATGTTTTATTCAAAAGGTCCTTATGGCGAAAGCGCCAGGGTGGCCCTCGAAATTCAAATTTTCTTACGCTTTTTGGAATTTGCAGGACAGGGTCAGGTTGTATGTTTAACAAAATATGATTCGCGACCGTAGCGAGTATGTATTTACAGAATTATAATCATCAATACAACCGTCTAGGTTCGTATAATCCCTTTGAATGAGTTTTTCTGGCTACAACAATAAACCTCTTCCGCTTTATTATATTAGTTGATTGTATTTCATTTTGTCCTATACATTTATATATTTGTCTCTTTTTAGTTTCATTGAGTTTCAAATAACAACGATGCCAAAGAAGTTTTCACTTCAAAAAATCGTGCACCCCATTAATGACACTCATATCTTCGCTAATCTAAATTTCGGATTATCAGTTCCTGCAACTTCCCACAATAAAATTCCGTAAGTCATTATGCTGTCAAAGTAATTAAAGGAACTAACCTAGCAGTAGCTACAATCAGAATAAACATAGGCATAGAAGTAATTATACACATTACATATAACACCCCACCATTGCGTATTGCCAGTGATGACATAATGGATCTGAGACGTGGTCCTTCACTGCTAGTCATACGAGGAAGCTTAAGCTCGCTCAGCCACTTATGAAGAGGCATGCCAATCGGCTGAAATGGCATTGGGCCGGCCAAATACCTCAAAAAGTAATAATTGGTGGGGAAGAATGGTGTCGGATAGCCCCCGACTAAATTGAGCGATAACCTGATAGGAATGCATGAAGTCAACAGATGCAGGGGCCTCAGGACTAGGGATGTTACGGAAGTGGTTGTATCGGAAGCGGAGTTTTTAAATTTTGTTTATCGGAATCGGAACCGAAGGTGGAGGCAAAAGAGAGATGTGTTAAGGGCAGGTCTAATAAAATATAATATAATTAAAAATGTTGTATAACCGACTTAATTTAAATTATTAGGAATGACTCAAAAACTATTGGACAGACATTGATCAAATTTATAATACAAAAGAATTTAAATAAAACTAATTTTACGGATCTTATCGCGTATATTAACTTATTTTACATTCCCGACGTTTCTAGCACTTTACAGCACCCATGGTCACGGAGGGGACTGAGGTGTATGACGTCCCATTGTCATAGTTAACCACGACTACCTCCAGATTAAAAATTATTAATTTTTGTTCCGATCTCGCAGTATGAACTTAGAGTATCATGAAGTCTTGCAGTTGTATGCTTGGGTTGGGATTTAATTTTATTAATTATGGGATCCCAAGCAGATGGTAGCACCCAGCCATCTTCTCTATTGAAATTAGGATGTTTCTTGATTTCAATAGCCTCGCGAATCATCTTTGGAAGGAATCGGTGTTCTTTAGCAAGGATTTGTGGTCTATCAAATCTAATGTAGTGACGGGGGCGATCCTGTACGTGTTCACAGACTGCAGACTTCCCGGAGCGTCTATTCTTCACATCAGCTATATGTTCTTCAACGCGGGTTTTTATGGATCTTTTAGTTTGTCCTATATAAGAGAGACCACATTCACAATCAAGCCTGTACACTCCTGCATCTTGCAGAGGAATATTACACTTGACTGATGGTAAAAACTGACCAATCTTCTTCGGCGGCTTGAAATATGTTTTAATGGAAGCACGCTTCAAGATGTAGCCAATCTTGTCAGTGACACCTCTGACATATGGCAGTACAGCAGGCACTTGCTCGACTATGGCCGGCTTCACTCGTTCACTGTGACGTAGGCGCGGGACCCGAAACTTATTGTCGTGCAAAACTTGCTTGACGTGTTGGAGCTCGGCGGCCAGGTGTTTACTGTCACAGATCCCTCGTGCTCTCTGAAACAAAGATTTACCCACGGTAGCTAACTGTGAAGGATGGTGGTGAGAATCGCCGTTAAATATCTATCTGTATGAATCTTTTTTCTATACACAGTGTGGCTCAAGGTGTTATTAGGATTCCGAATTACTAACACATCTAGAAAAGCTAAAGAATTGTTTGCCTCTAACTCCATCGTGAACTGAATTTTAGAATTTAAGGAGTTATAATGGTCTAGAAATGCAGTTACTTTATCTAAAGGTAGAATTGTGAAAGTGTCGTCTACGTACCGCTTGTAGAATCTTGGGTTTACGGGAGAAGTAAGCAGGGCTTTCTCCTCAAAGTCCTCCATGAATATATCGGCAACAATGGGAGATACAGGTGAGTCCATTGCCACTCCATCTACTAGCTTGTAGAACTCCTCCTTCCACAATAGGTAGCCAGATGTAAGACAGTGTCTGAGTAATACTGCATATTCTACGGGCATGTTGTTTTCCTCTAGCCTTCTAGTAACAATCGAGATGCAGTCTTCAACAGGTAAGCATGTGAACAGAGACTGCACATCAAAACTGACCATAGTTTCATTGTCTGCCAGATGTAGGTCTTTAATCTCGCTGACAAAATGGTAGGAATCCTTTGTATGTGTTGTATGTCCCTTGAGTGGTGAGAGTATATTCGCTAAGTGTTGAGCCAATCTGGAACGTCAATATTTTGAACCTCATTTGCAGATTTATTTCCACCATTAAATAAACTCATCAATTCGGACTCAATCTCTTCCTTAATTACTTCGCTGAAAAATTTTCCTTTGTAACGAGGATCCAGATATGTAGCTATTGTAAACAATTTATAAGAATGAAGGTCTCAAAATTTTGAATTCAGTTGGTCGATAGTACATTTTGTTACAGTTTTAAATATTTCATTTGTGTCTGGCTTATTGTCTTCTATTTGTAACGAACGCTTTAATGTATGTATTAGCGGAATTATTGATGAGATACTTGTGTTACTGTCGCTCATGTTCCGTGTAATCTCCTCAAAAGGATGAAGTATGGTAACTAGTTTCTTGAGCTGCAGCCATTCTTCATTATTTGTGGGATATTGTGTTTACTTGCGTACAAGCAAAGTGAATTCTGTATTTTAATCATTCGTTTCAACATATAAAATGTGCTATTCCACCTATAAAAAAGTAAAATTAAATAAGAATAACAATGTTTTACTATTGAGCCATAAAAGTTAAATTGACTAAAATAATAATGGTAGTAATTTGAGAGGATTGCGCGATTATTTATTACACAAGATAATTAATTTAATTCTTAACTCTTTAAAATAAAATATAAGTAAATTATATATCAAATTTAATTATAAATATATACTATTTAATGCGAATGCATGTTTAAATCAAGTTTTATCAAAATTGATTCAGTGGTTTGGCTACAAGGTGTAACAAACGGATAGAATAGAATGATTTTTATTAAATATTGATTATTACATACCTAATACTTATTGAAAGTCATTTTTTATTTACCACTGGTTCGGAAAATACCTCTGTCCTGGGAAGAACCAGCAGGAAACCCAGGATAGGTAGGGAATAGGGATACATATCAGTGTGATAAAACAAAAAAAATATAATTTTAAAACTTACCGCGTATTACACTCCTGCACCACACCTAAAACATCTTGGTTAAGTTGTTCCTTTTGTATTTTGTGCAGTTCCGATTGAGCAACTTGGGGGTGATTAAAATGCGTCCAATTCATTATCACAATCTAACATAGATCGCACACATAGTTGTAACTGATGTACCGTACAATTGACATCAGGTATAGCGGCGAGTCTCATTTTTCCATTTACATTTCGTCAATTTTTTCTTTGATTAGGTTTCCTGTATGTTTTCCGTGAAATGTGTGACATTTTAAAATAACTTTTATTCTCTTGAAATCTTCATTTATTCCGTGCGCTGTTAGACTTAATAACGATACATTCAAACTTAGGTCGCTCCAAATATCTGTTGTAAATGGGATTTTCTCAAATTGTTTTAACAAAACCTTTATCTTTCCTGCTAATTTTGTGTATAACTCACCACAAATATATTCGGTAAAAAAATGTCTTCCCCTTAACTGATAATTCGGCGCTATGAAATGCATAAGCCGTCTGAATCCAATACCTTCCACGAAATTGAAGGGAAGGTCTTGCAAAGAAAGCACTTCAGAAATCAATTTATCTATTTTGATTGATTTAGGGTTAGAACTACACCCTTTTTGATTCTTCATCAGTGTCTTTGAGAGTAATTTGTATTTTTACCTCTTGTACAGGTGTTGAAGTCGAAGGCTGCACTGTATTTTTCTTTTCAGTTTCTAATTTATTGAGTTCTTCTAATTCAGTGACATGCACAGACTAAATGACTTTTTAACGAAGTAAGTAGTCGTACCTCCCCTTCGTGAATATATCTTCTGACCACAGAACACAATTACTCTTTATCAAGAGCTTCTGACATAGTTTACACATTGCCGTATTCCCAGAAACTTCATTGAAATAATTCCAAATGACACTTGATTTTGGCTTCATTGTCTAATTCAAATAAATGTGTCAAACGTCTAATATAAAACTACTAAAACTAATCAAAAACTCGGATAAGTATAAATGAAGTGCGAACATATAATGGCTACAGTACACGTTGGCCGAGCGCGCTCGCCGAGTGCGTTCGGCCAACGTGTACTGGGCCGTTTTGTGTGTATTTGGCGTTTGCGGCCAACGCTCGCCCGCAAGCCGTATATTGTCAGTTTTCCGTGCACAAATCAAAGAAATTTGGCGCAAGCCGCAAACAGCGATCACACGTTGGCCGAGTGTTCAGTTCATAGTTACGCGTCGAAGTAGACTGTAGTGTCGGCTTAATATAATTGTTTCAACATGGCGACATGGACTAATGACGAAATATTTATTTATTTATTTAACAGTTTATGTACACACATAAAACGATAGGAAAATGGTAAAAACATAATTATGTACAAAGGCACTGCCTATTCCATGATGAAATTTCTTCCAGCAAGCCTATTGAAGGATAGTTGAAGGAAATAGAGGTAGTCAAAGTGTGCACTTACATAAATATACATATACAATACAAATACACACACACACACACACACACACACACACGCGCGCGCGCGCGCGCGCGCACACATATATATATATATATAAATAAAAATATTATATATTATGAAAAAAATATATAATTCAATATAATATATTTTTAACACATTACGATTTAATAATTATGGAGTGAAATATTGATTCATTGTTCATTGATTGATTCTCACAATGAATCGGTTATATGGAACCCCAAACATGAGCAACATAATAATAAAACCAGAGTAAGTAACTTGCCTAACTGCATTAAATAATACATGTTTAGTTGCGATTTCAGAGTACCTACCTAATGATAAATATTATTATAAATTATCTCGGCTTTTATGTTGCTCAGGGATAATGTAGCTTAGGGGCTTCTTTTGGGCTATAATTTATTTTGAAAAAACCCCCAGCGAAGCGGGCACGGGTCAGCTAGTAGATCCTATAAAGGTTTCTTTTTTCTTTTTGAGGTCGGAACCCTAAAAAGGACAAACTGGGATTATTGTTGTATGTGTAGTATTTTTTTCGTTCACTCTGAGAAGAGTGAAGCGCTGTATAAGTATATGACAGCGGCCGCTATTGCCCTAACGTCCATCATCATCTAGCTACCAACGCAGAATGAAACACGCCAACGTGTGAACGCCACCACGAAAATCTGCCGAGTGCGCTCGGCCAACGTGTACTGGAGCCATTTGTCAATTGCCAGATACCTACGAAACAAAACATCAAGTTAATGAGTAATCGACAGAAGGCACGGGAGGAGGGTGGTTCCCGGGGTGACAAGTATTAACTTGTTTGTACTCGCTGATTGCGGTCGCCGCCGCCGCTGTGCTCCGATATAACTTCCGATTAAAATTAACGGAACCGAAATCGGAATCGGAGGTGCAAAATCAATCGGAATTTCCGAACTTTCGGAATCGGAATCGAACCTCCGTAACATCTCTACTCAGGACCATGCTTTGTGGCATTACTTGGAAGGAGGTCTGTTTAACAGTGGACTTGTGAAAGAGATGTAACTTATATTTACTGATGGAATGCATAGTAGTGTAGGGTAGTGTAGTGGCTAAGATTAGGTGTTATTGTCGTTAGAGCAGTAACTTTAAGTTTCATTTGATGGGTTTCGTAAGAGTCCGAAAATTCAGAAATATGGCCTCCGATATCTGATAAATAAAATACTCAGACCGGCGACCGGGAGTACTGTCAAAGTTTCGGGATATTTGGTAATAATACGATGCGTTGCTACGGGCAAGTAAAAAAAAAGAAAGTCCTTAGTATAAGTATATATATATATATTTTTTTTTCTTTTATGTTTTTAATACAAGATAACAACTGCATAATATTCAGACTAAAATAAAATATTGTAACATAATGTTTATGTTTAAAAAAAATAAAATCACCTATTCGCATTCTGTAGGGCTCCTTACATTTTTTCGAAAATGTTATGATATTCCATTTTTTAAGGTCTAGCCAAAATCACGAACGGAACTAATTTAATCAAAAAATGAAAAATAAAACATTATTTTACCAGTTAAATTGTTAGGCATAGATGTAATAGTAATAATCTTGCAAACATTAGAGGATAATTTACAAAAGACTACACGACTTTCTAAACATGATTTTTATTTATATATAGTAAAAAACCACTAATATTAATCTTACGAGAAACAAAATACACATAATAATGTACAAAAATAAATTGAGCATGGTGTAAGTAATCCTATAGTTTCATTTTTAAATGAAATAAAATAATGATAGCTAAAAGAAGTAAGTGTTACTTTTAAAATAATAAAGTTAAAAACTACACTTCTTAAAAAAATATTCAATATTTATAAAAAACAAAATTGGTACATACTTAAATCAGAAATGCGTTTTCAAAGTAACCAAATTTAAATATAAATTTTTCACATTTATATAATTCAATATAAATTAATTCTGCCTTCTATTCTAATTTTATAGAAGAGTTTAAATTAATGCCTAATTTAACAATTATAAACTAAATATGAAATTGGATTGCATAATAATTAACTGTTATGCAATTCAACTTATTGTGATCCAACTTTTAAAAAAATCGACTTTGTAACATTAAAAACTGGAGTAATTTCAATGTTCATATTAATTTCCTCTATTTCTATCTTTAGGGCGTACATAGTTACTGATGTATTGCTTCAATGGATATTTCACGTTTATTAGCATATCTAAGTACTGACCATTTAAAAAAAGTTTTTTCTGTATTCTAAGCTCAAATTAAAAAGGACTAACGGAGCGGTAAAATTGAATTAACCATATAAAATACGATTTACGACAAATTTAGAATTTTTCACAAGTTGGTGAATTGATTAATTACATGATTTAAATGAGATGGTAAGCGCAATATCCAATAATCCAGCAAGCCGGAAGTTAGTGCTACCTAGTGCAATGTTGCCGAAGCTATTGGGCATCTGTCATATCAAGATTGTGGTCTCGTTACAGTAACACTGGCGAGGTGGTTGAGCGGCACACGAGCCGGTTTACGACCTTAAGACCAAGACTGATTTTTTTAAAAATTAGGGCGAGAAGACGGCTACGGCTATAGGCAATAGGTTCGAAGTAGTTGCAACACCTAGTTCTGGTGAATGATTAAACTGCGAGGAGGGGGACTCCACGAAATTAACCTTCATGCCCGTAGACTTCAGTTTCCAGCTCAACGAAGAGGCAATTGCGGAACAAGATTACAGGCGTACGAACATTTGGTTTGGAAAATTCGGCCATGGTTCGGGGTGCTAATTGAAGATTACGTGTTTCGCGAATACCGCGGACGTGATAACTGCCTGCAAAATCCACAGAAAGTCCATCCATATCAAGGAGGAACAATCATGGTATCGGCGGGAATACGCCTTGGGTTGGTTCATAATCGATAAACTGCAATTTACTGCTGCAATACCCAGTGATGAGGTGCTGAAAACTTTTGTTCCCATAAGTGACCACCGGACGGTTGTAAATGTGCCAAGAGTTTATTCTTATGCTTAATAATGTATGCCCATACAGCTCGAGTGCTAACTAACTAGTAAATAACTCAGTGGCTGCAGCAAAATTTCAAAAGCAGTTTTCACGAAGATATGGTAACAGAAAGTGCACATTAGTGATGTTGATAACCTTATTTTAAGTGCCAATAATATTGTATCGTAAGCCGTGCTTTTACAAATTATTTGTAAAAAAATAACAAACTTAATTTAGAGATTCAGATTATTTCTTTAATCACCAAAAACAGAAAATCTTATTTTAGAACAAGGTCAACTTTTTATTTTTAATATAAAATGCTATTTTTTCAATAAATAGTATAATATTGCTAATACTGCATTTTTAATTTATAGCTGTTTCAAGATGTTCTTTATAGTTTCTTTTCAATAAGTACATAAATTATAGAAATATCTTTAGGTTGCATTAATGAGTATTTATAAAAACCAATATATACACAGGGTTATTTTTCAAAGAGTATCCAAATTTTAGATTTAAGTTCTAATATGTAAATAATGATATACCGTTTTGTTTATGGAATAAGGGTGACAAGCGAGCACACAGTCCACCTGATGGTGAGTGGTTGATGTAACCCATAGACATCTACATCTATCCTCGTTTGCGAATCAAATGCAGATGCGTTGTCAACCGTGAGGACTAAGATGGAATGCCCCTTTTAAAGTAAAAAGGGCCGCCGTTTCTCTACACTTACCATACGAAAGACAGCAGTATTAAGCTGCTATTCTGCGAGAGCGTAGTCCTTCCCCGGTCGAGCCGACCCATTCATGCTACAACAATACTATTAATATAGCTGCAGCATGACTCTACCACGTATATTTTATAGAAGTTTTTGAAAATACGAGTAAATAAGGCTTCTACTTTTAGTTAACAACTACGCGTACTCGCGCTCCTCTGTGTGCGTTTCAATTCACAACGTTTTTGCCGTAGAGCGACCCTTACGATTGTGTGCGTGCGTAGTAAAATAGTAAACGTTAGATATTTATGAATGACAAGCAGTTGAAATAATGCATTACCACGATTTTAAATTTAAAAGATTAAAAGGACAATGTTTGAGACTTCTTCTAATTACGTCTTCTTCACCTTTTGCCTGTATATTACTTATTCTGAACCTTCTCTACAAATTTGACCGGTTATTGCAAAATAACCCTGTATGTAGATGCATTTTTTATGTTTTATTAAACCCTTATAAAATCAAAACATCTACATAACTCATATGATAATAATTACTATTTTCTTCTAGCTGAGTTACAACATCGACATATAAGTTCAAGTTTATATTTCTAAGTAAAAAAATATAAATTATTATTGATTTATTACGACTTACAATATACCTAATAGTTTTGTTACCAACTCTATCTATTACTGTTCATCAGAGGCACTAATCTGACTTGTATTTATAAATGACTAAGTGAATGTTATTAAGAATACTTCAGGTAAAAAAGTTGAATTTTACAATTAATTATTCTTATCTTTGATATTAACATTGTAGCTAAGGCAGCAAGAGCAACTACAGTGTAGCCTTGATATAACGAGCCTCAATATAACGAATTCCTCGATTTAACGAATTTTTCGTAATCACCTAGAACTACCCGTAAGAGCTAATGCAAAATATCTTTACCTCTACATTACGAATACATTTATCTAAATCCTCTTTATAACATATTTTTAATCATTGCAGAATATAGATAGATGGTATTATTTACCTCTATTTACCGAATTTTTCAACTTAGAACCTTGACATAACGTATGCTATTAATTATTCCCACTTAATTCCACAATAAATAATGTCTTGACAGGTTCAGACACGTTAGCATATTTACGTAATGTTGAGGTTAATAAACAAGTTTTCTTACCTTGTTAAAACGAGTCGTAAGCCTACCTAACCTCTTTATTACGAACCTCACTATAACGAATTACTTGGTATAACGAATATTTTCTAATTCCTATCAGTTTCGTTATATCGAGGTTGCACTGTATTAAATAACCATATTATCTAGATTTTTGTTATCTGCATTACATTATCAAAAATGTTTCATACAAAATCTCTAGCAAAAGCTATCTTTGTTTAAAGTCAAATATAAACAGTAAAATCATGATTTTAACATTCTACTAAAATAAAACTTTGTACATTGCCATTTTAATTTTTTTACCTAAAGATATAAATAACAAATGTTAAATAGCTAAGAAATATTTACATCTTTCGAAATTTCCAAGTTGAATTATTACTCTTATTTATTATCTACCTAGAAAGCTAGTAATTTAAACATGTACTATGTTAAGTATTTTTTAAACATAACGTTTAATGTTTATTGCATGATTGGGTCCAATTATATTATTCGTGAGTTGTTATAACACAGCAATTGTTATTAGCCATAAAATGGTTTAAATTTTTATCTATGAGTATATACCCTATGACACAACCTCAAAAATCTATGTAATTTAGCACTTGTCACGTAATAATAACACAGCCTAAGAAGAACATACAGTCAGTCATCGCGTTTGATCTTGTCGGAAAAGTCGACATAAACAATAAATTGACAGGGTTGTCAGAACATGAAGTAAAAAACACAAACTGATTTTATTTTATTACACGGTAATCAAATTAAATAAATTAGACCTAATGGTCTAATTTATTCATCAGTATAATTATTTCTGAACACTAATGTGTTCAACTTTAATTCTTTATCTTTAAGTGAGGACGACCCACAATTTTTTACCATTTTAATTTATTTGAATGACAGGACAACCCTAGCGGACAGCTCCCGGTCCGCCCGCGTTTCGCTCCGCACCGCACCGCACCATTTTCCCGTCTAGACGCCTACGATGACCAACTGGTAGTAGTAGTTAGACTGTGATAATAAGTTACTAAAAATAACCATGGATTTATAAATGTATTTCAGAAGCTGCCATGATAGACTAATGCCATTTTCTATGTACTCTTAAAAATTATAACAAGCATAATATGTAAATCATAAAACAATTATTGCATTAGGTAGGTACTGTTTTCCCAATTTACGCAATTTAAAACAAAACTGAAGTAAATAATCTTACGTTATACATTTCTCCAAGTGTTAAAACTCTCAAGATTTGAGAAGAGATAGAGGCTCTGGTTTTGTATATAGAAGGCCGCCAAGCACCGCAAGAGCTGCCGCGGCAAACAAGCGTCACGCACGAATCTTAGGAGCGACACATGCGCGCACGCATGCGTACCGTCATTGTGTGGTCTTTAAAGACGCCATCTTACGTCCTCGAGCTCGCGCTTCTTGTCTCGACTTAGTATACTCAAACCACAATACGTTTGGTATCAAAGTTGTGTCCCGTATCATTAACATTTCACATAGCTTTCTGCGAATTAAAATACAATTTTTATTAAATCTCAATGAAGGAGAAAAGAAATAATCATATTTAAGGTTTTAAGATTAGATTTCCACTTCTGTATAATACCACAGATAATATTATACAAATGTTTCAAGTTAAAACTTCTTTAGAATCACAGTGATTTGTACTCGATGAAACTTTTACTCGAAAGGAAATATTATTTTGATTTATTACACAAAAATTTGGTTCTACATGTCTAAAAATAAAGATTGTAACATATTTATTTGCTATAAAATTAAATTTTTATCTTATATTTTATCTTATATGTTCTGCACTCGTGGTAGAAAATTATCATATTCAATAAATCAATATTAAAATAATATTCATACTTTAGCTATCATAGGCCACTCGTGTCATTTCTTTAAATTGAAAACTTTATATGCATGCAATGTTATAGATATAGGTAGAATAAAATATAAAACAATTAAAAAAAAACCCTACAATTATCCTACTCCCTGATCTTTTTAAAATAGGTGTTGTACTCAGTTCATAAAAAAAATGCATATGGAGCACGCGGAACAAACTATATAGGTCGACATTTAGTTATATTGCGTGATAACCACGTGACGTTTCTGTAGAAACAGCTGCGTCAGTGTGTGCATGAGTTTGCCAGGATAATAAATCATGTCCAACCGAAAAATAGCATATAAATAAAATGATAGAGGTTTGCAGTTGTGCGCACATCACGAAAAAAACAACTGGATAGATTTCAATTAAGTTTTCAAGTTTTATTTCTTAGCCACTTAACCCTTATCTAAAAAAAAATGCACAAGACGGCATAATTTAATCAAATTTGTCACGTATTACCCCCGTATTAAATATACGACGGTTTTTTTCGTAAGAAGGCTAGTTTGTATTTGCTTTGCGGAGCATATTCGCATCTTCCGCCGTGCTTCATCTGCCTTGTTTTATAACCTGACGCGTTGTATAAATTGTGCATGGTAATTTTCCCGAAAAGTATCCATAATTTTCAATTTTTAGAATAAATTACCCGACACTTAGTATCAATGAGCAAATAAAATTTAATTACATGATGAAGGATGATAATATCCTCCTAACCTAAGATTTTCGAATAGTACAACTACTGTCAAATTATCGGAAGCTTGCTCGTGAAAAAATTGACTAACCGTGATTTTATTGAATTACCGTAAAGAAGCGATATATAAATATCCAATACCCCATATCCCTACACCTTACAACGTCCACGGGGCGTGGACGTTGTAAGAGGCCACAGAGGGAAACAAACCAGAAGATGGGCAGCAGCGTCGTCCTAAGAACAACTAAAAATAACTGCGGTTAACAACCCGCTTGCCAAGCGTGGCAAATATGGCAAAATACTCCCTATAAGGCAATCTATTAGATACAATGGGAGGCCTATGTTCAGAAGTTGACTTTTACAGCCTGTAATAGAATGGAAGGAAGGCAGTTGTCTAGGCAGAGGTTGCAGTAGTAACTTACAATCAGGTGGCATGTTATATCGTTTGTTGCTCACTCTGTTATAGAAAAGTTACGGTTGGCAAAAAAAGTTTCCGTTTTTGCGCGTTTTCGTTTAAATTACAACAGTGTAATTTTCTTTTTAAATAGCAGTGTAAGCAAGACGACTGACTGGGCGACAGAATGTAAGGAGTTAGCAGTTTCAATATATTTCTTGTACTTTCGTATTCAACTTATGTTTCAATGTTTTACAATATTATTTTTATATTAATTTATTATTCATTATTATTTTATATTTAATAAAAAAGGGGAGGTATGTAGGTGCAACATTGTAACACATTTTCCTGACAGCAAATTTTTGTATGTCACCCACACCGATCGCCCACAGTCACGCCAGTCGTCCCTAAACCTCCTAACTGAAATAACGTGTAATAACGTGTCAGTGTAAGGACCATTGTGAAAGTGAATAGACCTTGTTGTTTGACCAGACGCTAAGTTTCATTCCTCTCCAAATTATTAACCCTCACCACCGTAACTCAGTGAAACACGCAGTGAACGGTCGGACCGAATTCGCTTCATACACAGACTTTACTTTATATATATAAAGACATTACACACACCAAATTAATTAACTCACGAACCAAAAACAAAAGTAAATGTAATAAAATATACTTACAATGAAACTAACTGTGGGAATAATGGCGTAAGAACCCTGTGTACAACTATAAACCAAATAGTTGCAAATATAAATCCCACTATACCACCGACTACAACTTGAGATGTAGTGTGATAGTGTAAATAAACTCTACCAATGCTTACTAAAACTGCTAGAGTAAGGCAACTGCCTACAATTATCACTCTCCACAATGCCGAGATGATACTGTTGTTGTTAATATGATGTAATCTGCAAAAAATAAACACTACAAAATATGTACATAAAGAATAACGCTAAATTTAAAATAAAATTTATATACAATGCAATAATGTTATTAGTATTTGCATTATCAATATTCCCATTAATCGCACCAAGTAGTCTTAAAATGCTTATTAAGGAGTAGTGACCACACATCAAAAGATAAATGTAAAATTCTAAAGAATTGATAATCTTCACTAAAAGTTCTGAGACAAGATCAGGTTCTGGCTCCGGAACCTTCTCTGAGGACAAAAACTCAGTCCTTCAAGATGAATGTATGGACATTGTTTAACCGATTCGTTGCGGCACCGATTTTCGACAACTTTTAGCTGTGGCGACGAACAAATATTTCATGACACGCCTGGCATGTCAAGCGCCATAGAAGTTGATGACATCAGCCATGAGTAAAAATAATTTTCTTTTTTACGCTTTTTTCACTTGTTTAGACCTAATTAAGTTTAGTTGACATCAAACATCAGTTAAAAACGGAAGGATACTTGTTTTTAGTGGGTAACTACGTGTTTTTCTACGTGTTTTCTTTGAAATTGAGAGAAAGTGACTTTTATATGCAGAGATTACAAACCTTTTGGACTATTTTTTGTTTTATAAAAAAAAAACATTTATATAAGTAGGCATAGCTGAATCACCCCGGAAAGCCTTGGCTTTTATTAAATTAAATTTTCACCTAATAATAACATTTCCATATATCAAAAAATCAAGAACCTTAATTTGGAAAAAAATAGGGTTTTTTTATTTTTATTTTTTTATAGGATCGGGTGACAAACGAGCACACAGTCTACCAGATGGTTACTGTGACCCATAGACATCTACATCTATCCTCAATAAAGACTCAAGATGCAGATGCGTTGTCACCCGTGAGGACTAAGATGGAATGCCTCTTTGCCAGTAAAAAGGTTCTCCGGTTCTCTACACTCACCATACGAAACACAGCAGCGTTAAGCTGCTATTTTACACTGGTTTTCTGTGAGAGCGTGGTCCATCCCCGTTCGAGCCGACCCATTCATTGATATTTTTATGATTCATTGATATTTACAAATGTTAAATATTATTTAATGTTTTACAAATGTAAAAGTAAAGTTGATCTGAAAGAAAAGTAACTAATTAAGTAAGAATAGCAAAAAAAGTGTTTTTAAAAGGAAAAAAAACGCTGGCGCTATACGGCGGCGGATTGACAAAAGACTATTTATTTGCTAACTTTCTGTAGGCACGAACGGTTTCGAATAGTTTCAAACAAAAATAAATCTCATACCCATATTACAAGAGCATATGGTACTGCGTAGGTCTATATATATGATAGTAATAAGACAGCAGTTCAACTATTTTAAGCAAAATAAAATAATAAGACAAACGCATTGTTTTTTTTTTTTTAACAGGAGACTTGTTTTCCAGAAATTTATTTACAACTTGAGTTTGTGAGCGATCGCAATGAGTGCTATTATTTGTTACTTATTAGACTATTTTTCCAGAACATGATTAAAAACCCACAAAGTAAAAAGAGTACCATGTACAAGTTAAAAAATGGTTGTCAACCCCTAAAAATTTCAAATTTTCAAAATATCCAGAAACGAAGCTGTAGGCATGAACTACTTGCAAAATAATGAATATTTTGTTGTGGATAAATCTTCCAAAAACGCAATTTGAGCGAGTTATAACGATTAAAAAAAAAGACACGACTCGCGTGTCATACGCCACACAAAAATAATCGATGGCACGCCTGGCGTACCATCCGCACTGAACCGGTTAAGCAGCATTAGCAATCATAGCTAGAGAAGCAAAGGATAGATTTGTTCGAATACCCTCTGACAGTAGGGCGATTTTACAGGCCTTGAATAGTAATGTTATGAACTCGGTGCTAATCTATGAAGACTTCAAACTGTTTAACACGGTTTTCTTAACCTGTTTTTTTTTAACATAACGTTTTTATGTAAGGTAGGTGAAGCAAATACCTTTCCCTTCAGCGGATAAAAGGCCATAATGATTCCAGAGGTCGCCGCAGACCTCCTAGCCTCCAGTGGCTCGGCACGTTAGGCAATCGGACCAGAACCCATTATGCCACTTCTATTTTGTGTTTGCAATCATAGATGCGAGGCTGCACAAAGAATGCCAGGCAAGCTAGAGAGGCTTTACCAAACATCAACAGTCGCTTTTCCAAAATACTGCTTGTTTAGGCCAAATATGGTCATTTGAGACGGCCTCCAATCGTCTTCGACTTAACGAATCACCCGATGGTGTTAGGTGTCACGCGCGTCGCAGAGAGGAGGCATCGGTATGCAGCTTCCCAGCGTTTTGGCGTTCGAGGGCGAAGGACAGTAGCTTGAGAGCAGCGGTGCGGTGAATTAGCGTATTTTGGTGACCGCTGCATATATTTCGCGCGACCAGTTTTTTGGGTTTATGGTCTAGATTTTTAGGGATTGTGCGCGTTACTTCGCTACTGAATTGTGGTTCGTGAAGACCGCCTCGGTTTAGTTTGTCTAAGTTGTAAATTCGTGACAAGAGGCTTGTATTGTATTTGACTGATTAGAGTAATTTCGTTGCAATTGTACCGTCGCGTTAAGAGCCTTTTGTGTGTTGACTCTTTAGTTACTTTGCGTGTCAGCTAGGTTAATTTTGAATTCTTATTGCGGCGTAGTATTTAATATAGTACGAAGGAATTTAGTTGTCGGTTGTAACACTGAACTTTGTGACTCGTGAAGAGATCGCGTTAGTTCCCTATTTGTAATTTGGTGATAAATGAATCCGGAACCTTGAATATTGAACTTTGAACTACTGTTCGTTACTTGTGTCGGGTATCACGTGTTTGATTTTACGATGAACGTTGAATTAGTTGAGTTGAAGTTAGTTAAATGTGTAATAATATTGATAGACTGAAATAGTGAAATGAAGAAAGAAGTTGTCACTTGGTGACGCCTGATGGAGTGATGCAGCATTGTGGGGCATCATGGGAAGAGGCCGATGCCCGGTCACCTCAGCTGGGCCAGGTCACATAAATATACACACCACTATACATGCACCTACAACTACCTACGGCCTGACCGAGCCTTGGTGCGGTCTTAGCTTCGGATCCAGGTACGTACTATTTATTTACCTAGCCTTCTCGCTATTGTGTAGTATGATATGTCAATCGTACATAAGGCCCATTGGGCCCGAACCCTCGGCTGCCCGTCGAGGAGGCTACTATGGGCCCTAGCCAAGGCGACCTTTGCAGGGGCAGCTGGGGGCCGTAACACTGCTTCTTTCGGATTATCACAAGTGCTTTAATTGGACACACGTTCTACTGGAGTGCTCTCTGGACGCCTGCGAGGTCTTTGGCGACATCAGAAAGTATTCTCCGCTAAATTTGACACATTTTTCCATACGATGGAACCAATCATTGAAGCAACCATTCCATTCGGAAGTTGGGGTCTCCAAAATGGCCGTTTTGTAGGCGTCCACAGTTTCTTCAGGTGGTGAAAATCTCTGTCCACGCAATTTATTCTTTATTTTAGGGAAAGTATAGAAATCATTAGGGCTTAGGTCGGGGCTGTACGGCGGATGGTCTAATAATTCTATGTTTTCTTGCTCTAAAAACTCTTTTGTTCTGTGTGCGGTGTGAGAACTCGCATTGTCGTGATGGAGGATGATGCGGCGGTTGCAGTTCTCTTTACGGAGTTCAGAAACGACCTGTGGCAAACAATTGCTAGCATACCATTCTGCATTAACCGTTCTTTGTCCCTCAAGAGGAATAGTCGTAACATGGCCGGTTTTGGAGACAAACGTGGCCACCATTTTTTTTTGCAACACTTCGTGAACGAACAATTTTTGTTGGCTTTAACTCATTTTCGAACACCCAAACTCGTGACTGGTTTTTTGTTTCGGGTTCGTACGCGTATATCCAGGATTCGTCACTTGATACGATGTTGTATACAGCATATGAGGATCCTGCGTGGAATCTTTCGAGAGTTCTGACGCACCAAGTAACGCGAGCCGCTTTTTGCTCTTCACAGAGCGAATGCGGTATCCATCGGGAAAACAACTTTTTTACACCTAATTGTTCATGCAAGATTATTTGTATTTGACTCATGCCAATGTCTAAAGTTGCCTGAATTTCGCGATGTCGATCTTCCTCAATCAGCTTACGCACAGCATCAACGTTTTCTTGGGTGACTGCAGTTTTTGGGTGACCTTGACGGGGATCATCACTGAGCTTGACACGTCCACGTTGAAATTCAGCAAACCAGCGATAAATTGTGGTTTTGGATGGAGCTTCATCACCAAATGCAGAAATCATCCGGTCAACACACTGTTTTTGTGTTAAACCACTTCGAAAGTCATAATAAATCATCGCTCTTGAATTTTCTCGAGTCAATTCCATTTTCTCAACGACTAAAGAAGTTTGACAAAACCTTGTGACAAGACCGAGAATCTTTTTTTAAATAAATAAATGGTATTCGATTTTTAAAACCAAGGACTTTTCAATTAAAAAGATTTTAATATGACAGGAACAGTGGAAATATTCCATTTCCGATACTTTTAGTGCAGCCTATGTATGATACGTTGATGATGCTATTTTTAGTTTACAACTTTGTTGCTATTACATTGATTATTACTGCTACATGCAGTATAACGCATCTTGTAGTTCTGGTTGATGGAGGTACGTGGGTGAGATGTCTGCTGGGATCGTATGGGGGACCTTGTAGCGTTTTGCAGCATTGCGTCTCTGGGATGGTTATTTGGCGGGTCGCTATTCTCATGGTGCTCTCTGCGTTTTTAAAGTATGATATATGGCCGATTTCTAAATGCCCAAGATATCAGCTGTTTTGCTGTCATTTCTTTTTATGAAGGATATTTATCAGCAGGCCAGAATTCTTTAACGTATTTAAACACGTTAATAATCATTACCTTCTCAGATACACTAAAGTGCGACATTTTTGTTTTCTTCCACAAAGAAACAAACACCTTCAATGGATGCGAGGTAGACGATGTTGGTTCCATTTTAAAACAGTGAAGGAAACTTAACAAATTAAAAAAAACCACTTTACAATTAAACAAGATAACAAAAACTAACAATCAACAACAAACTAAGAATAGATAACAGAGATAACTGTGTCCAAAAACTAAGCGATCACTAATGCATCCCAAGATGGAATATTGTTTGTTCGTTATTTTAATATTAACCACTCAAACGTCCAGGCGACGCGGCAACAATACCCTTAACGCCGCTTGTCGTGTTTTTTATACGGTCCGATTGTGATCAGTTCGACTAAAACCTTTATAACGGAGAAAGTTCTTTACCTATATCAGAATAAAAACCATCCACAGAAAGCTAATGAAATGCAGAATTCAATTACGTTAGTAATAATATTTTATTAAAATAAATTATATATAATACCAAATCTTAACGAAAAACTGACACACAAAGGCTAGGTTTTCGCATGTAGACTTCATCACATATAAAAACATCATTACAAACTTTGGATTCATAAATCTTGTAGATATACTAAAAGAAAGCACTTTGAGGATTATTTTCATATATAATACTAGTACAATACAATAGTATAATAAACACATTATTACTTACATTTTAAATACAGAATTCACAGTACTACCGACAAAACTTGACACAATGCTTGTTTTTTTTTCAATGATATCTGTTACCAGGCATAGATTTTTTACCATCCCATAGACGCGTTTTTAATTAGGAGCCGTATAGTGTAACATTTATGAAGATTTTTATAACTTTCCATAGATAAAACGTTGTTTAAAGTATAAAAGTAAGCAAGGCCACTGTATTCGCCCTAACGTTCAACCGGAAAAAGTTTTAGGCGACTATGGTCACCTGGACGTTTGAGTGGTTATTAATTATGTCAAACAAGCCAAGGATTTCTGGTTGTGACTCAAGGTCAACCAAAAACCAAACAAACCTTACAGTTTCAAATAGAAGGTTTACAATACTTGAGGACAGTGTTCATTGCATCTGTGCAAGTAAGATACATTATATTTATGCGGGAGTGACAGAGTCAGGTAATAACAGGTTAAAGTACAAATTTCTTCCTGCTCCATGTCTGGACTTTACCACATTTAAATAAAGGTATTACTTTACTATATTTAATTAAATCAGTAAACACCAGATTCAATACTAGTATTTAAAAAAAAATTGAATAAGAAGAGGTGCAATTAAATCTAATATAGACACAATAACTGTAATGTAAATCCCCCATAAATCTGCAGTTTTCTTTACATAAAGGGTTTTGAAATATCTTACAATATTTTGTGGTAAAACTTTTTCAAATCTAAATTCTTTTAAACAGGTATTAATATTCTGTTTGAGCAAATTACCATAACATGATCTGCAGTTTAGAAAAATATCATGAGGAAACCAGCATGTATGAGAATTTGTTATAAAGGAATGTGAAATTGGCCAATATGCATTGGAGCAACAAGGTGGACTAATAACTCTATCATCCTTACTGTAAAAATGAGGCCTTTGAACCCCTGTGTTATGCAATAATAGTAGCTTTAATGTGTTTATAATTTATTCATGACTTCAAAACTAAATTTTTCCAACACTTACCTTATGATAAAAAAGTAGAGCACATAAACACTGAAGAACCATACATATTGAGCATGAGATGAGGGCATTCCATATTCATTATATAAATTACCTCTTGCAAGTGGCCTTGCTTCACAAATTAAATGTTTTAAGACAATATTTAATAACTCGTTGGCTAAAGTACCACAAAAGAAAGCTATCTGAAACAATTTTTATTATGTGTTAATAAGTATATAAAAAAAATAGTATGTTATGTTAATTATTAATTTTAATTTTATTATTAATATTGCTAAAACTTACTGTATGAAGATCTCGTCTAAATAAAATTAGCGTCACAAATCCGGCTCCAATTCCAAAAGGTGCCAAACTAATAAGTGCAAAAAATTTACCAATCCAATCTCCTAGAACAATAGACAATTGTTTTATGAAATTTGGAACAATAATGATATTTCAGTGAAGTAATATGAGGTTATATCTCATTACTTGCTGTAGTTTCGGTATATATTCGGTTCGATAGGTTTTAGGTTAGGTTTATAATATTTGAAGTACTAGCATTTAAAAAGAAGAATCAGGGAAGAAATTTACCTTTGGGATATTCGACTAGAGTCAACGCAAGAGGTTGCCATTCTATATCACCATTATTAAGTAAAACTTCGTCGGTAGTTAAAACATTATCTCCCATTGTCACTAAGCAGGCTTTCGTGTTAGACGCTTAGTTTATAAATGTATTAAATTTACGTTCATATACCAATTATAATGCTACTCTCCAGCAACCACAATCCACATCTACAATACAAATGCCAGGACAACTCACTACGCTAGATACGCGATAAGAATAACAGGGCCGTCTATATTATATCTCTCGTAATAAATATAATATAGGGGCGTTACGTTAGTTATTTTGTGGGAAAATTTTGGGGTTGGGTTGGGGGAAATAAATATGTCAAACAATTGAAGTTGTTGTTTTTATTATTCGCTCGAGAGAGCGGGCAAAGGAACTAAGCCATACAGCCTCAATTGAAGTTGACATTAACACCCACTGACCATAGCCCACAGACTAATACGATGCTTAAGCTGAGAACAAATTATCGGACGCGTCCGTCAGCCGCGGCTGACAGACGCAGCTTATTTGAATCTAGCAAGTACATTTAATACTACACTGTGCAAACTATCGGTCGTAAGACGCGGACGTGCCCTTGGGTCGTCCTTGAGCGTTCAGACGTCCGAACAGAATCTAACCGGCTGGATATTTGTGCGTCCTCGGACGGTGTGCACAGGCCACGGGACGCGTCCGCGGACGTTTCGAGTATCACAAACGAACCGACCGTACTCGCGACATGTCAGACGAAGAAAATTTAATTGAATGTGTTCGTGGCCACATAAATGCTACTTTAAAACAGGAAGTGTGGGAGCAAATTGCTGCTGAAAAAATGAAATTGGTTTTCATTAATTCTTAAGTACATTTTGTAACGTTTATCATCTTTTTGTTAGTCTGGATACAATGTATGAAATTCATCATACTCGAGTCGTTTTACATTAATATCATGGACCCAAACACTCCTTTTCACTTTTTTTTTTTTGGAAAACAACATAAGGCAGCTGCTGCTAGGTCTATAAATTCATCCTCGCTGTCGCTGCTTGTCGTGTTTCTCGATTGAAACACCTTTATAGAATGACTGAAGTGAGGCGTCCGAAGACGCCGTCTTAACTACCGTGCACACCGCTAAGCCGCGACTGTCAGCCGCGGCTGACGGACGCGTCCGATAATTTGTTCTCAGCTTTACGATGCGTATTTTTTTTTTGGAGTTTATAGCCTGGTACATTTAGACCTTTAGGCGAATTACGATGCGTAAGATAAATAAATATGTTGCTAGCTATTACTAGGCATTGTTACCACCACGGAATATATTCCTTGTTTTTTATATTCCGTGGTCACCACAGCCTATTATAAGGATTTGGCACTGATCACAAACTAATAAGAAGTGCTAGCGCAGCACTGATGGAGTTTGTTTTTCAACGTAAACATTTTTGCCTATACAGTCTACTCTGACGTATTAAATTAACAAAATTCTTTACAACTTTACAACCAAAGAGAATATAATCGCTATGTTGTATGAAAGGACGCCAAGCTACTCTACCAACATCAAAACATGACATTTAATTGTTGATAAACAATGCTGAAAACATAGGCGAATTATTATAGTGCTGAAATGTCTATCCTCGAATAATTTAAGCGATATAACGATATATGGTTTATCGAAATTTTTACATAATAAAATTAAGATCTCTATACTAACTTAAACGTATTTATTATACACGGTATCAGTGCAATAAATAATTAAAAAACCATATGGTCGAAGTTTACACTTAGTAATTTTAATATAATGTGTAAAAAAACAAATTATATATTATACAATACTTACGAGTATTAACTCGTAAGTGTTGTATAATATATAACTTGTTGGAATTTTAATATTAAACTATATTATCATATAGCTATATATATATATATATATATATATATATATATATATATATATATATATATATATATATATATATATATATATATATATATATATATATATATATATATATATAATTGCAACAAATTATATATTATACAATACTTACGAATATTAACACATTATATTAAAATTACTAAGTGTAAACTTCGACCATATGGTTTTTATTTATTTATTGCAGGTTTCATAATGATCAGAGTTTAAAGGATATATGGAAGTTGATCGACGACGTTTACGATCTAAAGGCCCACAAACCGTTACAGATTGCAAATGCATCGCCAACCCCGAGGGCTAAGATGTAATGTCCCGTGCCACCCGTAAAATGTTGAATATGTACATAGTATAGTGTAGTATGTGGTTAGTCACAGTTATGAGATGAAGTTTAGATTTATCCACTTCAAAGAATGTACATGTTATGTTAAATCAAATTTTCCACAGCCGTCAATTCTCATTTACTCAACCAGATGACAGACTATCATATAACGATGCCATTAGTGCCACTCTTACTATTCCTGATCTCTTAACATCTGCATGTACAACATCAACTCCTCCACGAGCGAGTAACCTTTTAACAGTTTACTGTAGATAATATGTTTGGTTAAAGTAATTAGGTACAAATTTATTAAATAGTAATTTCTACTATTTTATTATTTAGATTAGTGCCGTGGAGTGGCGGTTAAGAATTTTTTTTTTTATAGGTTAAGGGTGACATAAGAGCACACAGTCCACCTGATGGTAAGTGGCTGCTGCGGCCCATAGACATCTACATCTATCCTCTGTTACAAATCAAAATGTAGATGCGTTGTCACCCGTGAGGACTAAGATGGAATGCCTCATTTCCAGTAAAAAGGGCCTCCGGCCACCTGCACTCACCAAGCGAAACGCAGAGGTAAACCTCTACTTCACGCTGGTTTTCTGTGAGGTCGTGGTACTACCCCGGTTCGAGCCGGCCCATATCCACTACTACCAAAATATCCACTACCTCATATCTTCCCGTGAGTGTCGTAAAAGCAACAATGGGAAACAGCAGCATCTTCCTGATAACAGCAAAAATTAGAATAAAAAAACTATGGTTGCCAACCCACTCGCCAAGCGTGGCAACTATGGCAATATACACCCCATGAGCAATGACAATAATAAACGGCCCCTAGTCCCTGGCGGCCCCGCTATTCTTGGCTTCGGTGGCGACTATGGTAACGGAGGGGCAGGGGGTGCTAAGAATTTCCGGTGATGGTTCGGTTGCCACCTAAGACGACTCGACCTGGTAACATACAACGCACGCACCCTGAGGACTGACGAGAAGATCGTGGAGCTGGAAGAAGAGATAGACAAGTTACGCTGGCATATTATAGGATTATCCGAAGTCCGAAGAAAGGAGGAGGACACGGTAATCCTCAAATCCGGCAACTTGCTCTATCACCGGGAGGGCGACCATCTGTCCCAAGGAGGTGTCGGATTTATCGTCCACAAGTCTCTCGTTAACAACGTTGTAAAGATTGAGAGTGTGTCGACGAGGGTTGCGTACCTTATACTCAGAATCACCAAACGGTATTCGCTGAAGGTCATACAGGTTTACGCACCAACCTCAGCACACCCCGATGATGAGGTGGAGGAAATGTATGAGGATATCTCTAGAGCCATGCATTCCTCCAAAACCCAATATACGGTGTTAATGGGAGAATTCAATGCAAAACTAGGCACAAGAGAAAACGGTGAGCTGAAAGTAGGGAAATTTGGAACTGAAACTAAACTTTAAGTTGGAGAGGTCTCGTCTAATGAAGTCAACGCTCCGTCCCTCTCGTACTATGTTCCAAAGTCCCGAAACCTTTCAGCTCGAGTCACAAAACCGTTTTCAGTGTCTAGAAGACTGCAATGAAGTGGACGATATGAATGACAAGCTCGTGGAAACTGTCCATGCGGTCAAAGCTAAGTTCTGCAAGACCCGCCGCAGAAGAACACAATAACTCTACGATCACACTCTCAATCTCATGGCTGTTAAAAGGGAGATGAAGCTACATTCTTCAACAGATTTGACAGCATACAGGCATCTGAACAGACAGATCTCCAAATGCATGCGGCGGGACTTACGCAACTTCAATACAGCTTGTATTGAAGAAGCGATTGAGCGGAACCAAGGCTCCAAAGTCTTTGCTAGAGATCTGTCTGCCATAAAGAGCCAACTGTCAAAGCTGAAGACCGAGTGTGGCAGCATCGTTTTCGGGGCACCTGAGATTTTGAGTGAGATTGAGAGGTTCTATGGGAAGCTGTACATGTCATCGTTGGAGCCACACGCAAGTGCGAGTAACGATCCAATAGCGAGTCTTATCCGACACTATTCCAAAGATATCCTGGACGTCAGTCTGAGCGAGATTAGAATGGCTCTCCAGCACCTTAAAAACGGCAAGGCCCCAGGTGAGAATGGAATTACAGCGGAACTTCTGAAAGCGGGTGGAAGACCCGTACTTGAAGTCATTCAGAAGCTCTTTAATTCCGTCCTCTATGGTGGCATTACACCGGAGGCGTAGAGCAGAAGTGCGGTGGTCTTGTTCTTCAAGAAAGGTGGCAAGGCTCTCTTGAAGAACTACACACCGATTTCCCTTCTGAGCCGCGTCTATTTGCTGTTTTCGAGAGTCATTACGAATCGTCCCGCGCGCAGACTTGACGACTTCCAGCCTCCCGAACAAGCCGGTTTCCGAAAGGGCTTTAGCACCATAGACCACATACATACCCTTCGGCAAATTGTACAGAAGTCCGAAGAGTACAATTTGCCACTATGTCTGGCGTATGTGGACTATGAGAAAGCCTTTGATTCCGTCGAAATTTGGGCGGTGCTGCAGTACCTTCAGCGATGCCAAGTTGACTGTCGGTATATCGAAGTGCTGAAGTGTTTGTACAGTAGAGCTACGATGGCTATCCGAGTACAGAACCAGAGTACGAAACCTATCCAATTGCAGAGAGGTGTTAGACAGGATGATGTTATATCCCCGAAACTCTTCACCGCTGCATTGGAAGACGTTTTCAAGCTTCTGGACTGGAAAATGGTGAAAAAATGGTGCCACATATTTCAACAAGGACGAGAGAACTGTCAAGTCGACCCTCGCCCGGGCCGCCCTGTCACGTACTGACCGAAGAAAACGACCGAAAAGTCGAAAAAATC